CATATTTACTCAAGATAACCAGGGTTCTTATCTGTAAAAACAAGTGTCATATCTCCTTCCTGGTCACAGTGAGAACCCTGGTGGCATTGGCTATATGGCAGAGGAGAGTGCTGAATTGGAAAGGAGGCAGTAAATTAGGTGGGGACCGTTTATTGATTTTTCCAATTCCCCCAGTGCCTGTCCCATTGCCTTATACACAGCAGGGACGCAATCAATCAACTTGAAATATTTGAGTATTTACGTTTTCCTGTGCTGTATGCTGTACAGTGGGGGCACAAGAGTAAACAAAAGAGAAATAATCCCAACTAGATTATAGGCTGAGAGAGGAAAAGGCCCTAAACTGAAGATCACACAAATAAATCATAATTAAAAATTGTGATATACTCTAAAGGAAGACTACACAGAGCAACAGCAAGTCAGTGGGTTTGCTACCCTGGAAGTGGGGGCTGTGCTGCTGGCTGGCCAGCATCAGTATCCTCCGTTCTAGGTTGGGGTGAAGGGGCAATTATTTATCCTTGAATTAATGCATGATAGTTTTACTGAGTCGCTGGTGTATGGATGTAGAGGTGGCGTGGAGTCAGAGATGTCACGCTAATTCACGCTGTATGTGGGAGAGCTGGCTATCAGAGCGGAGAACAGGGCCCCTTATGGGAGATACAACCTCTTCCTTTACATCATATTTTCAGGGTTTATACTGATTACTGATTACTTCTATGAACTCATGTTTCCTTGTATGTGGGGTTTTTTTGCCAAGCATGAATGACAAAGATATTGGTAAATGAAAAATAAAAATGTTCACCAATTAAAATGAGGAAAAAAAGAGAATATGCAGAACCATTATACTTAGGGCAGTGGTGGTGATCTGATAAGGCATTTTTTGAGGAAATTGCATAGAAATCTAGACGTGAAGGACAAGAGAGGATAATCCAAGTAAAGACGGGAAGTAGAGCCTTCTGAAGAAAGGTAACAGCATTCTGTAGGCCCAGAGGCAGAGAAGGGTCGGGATGCACGGAGAAGCCTGATGAACCCGGAGTGCAGAGAGTGTGGGCAGGGTGGCCCGAGATGGAGTGGGAGAGAGAGGAGGGGCCGGATCCTGCCTGGCCTTGCGGCCATCAGCTGCCCTGTAGACTGGGGATCAGTGTCCTGTCCTGGGTGAGACATCCTTATACCAGCGGCTGGTCCCTGCTGCTTGTTCAGCCTGAAGCCTTTCTTGGAGGCCCCTGTATTGCTAGTCAGGACCCCACAATTCCTTCAAACCGTCATCAAGTCTTATTTCTTAGGGCCTGTCTTTGTCTCTCAATGTCTAAGCACCTTGCTGCTGGGCTGGGGAGGAGAACACGTTTCCTGTGGCTCAGATGTCTCAGACTACTCATGTCATCTACAGCTCTATTCCCACGAGGAATTCAGCAGACACTCAATGCTCAGACATGCTTCAGTATATCTGTAGACAATTGTATGTAATCTATGAGAAATCTGTCAAGTGGAAGCCAATCCGAAGTAGGACAAAGAGTTACTTACCGCTTTCTGTAAAATGGCGTGTCCTTTTTGTATCAGGGCCGCGTCTAGGGCCTGCCCTCTGAATGTGGCAGAGGCGTTTGCGTCTCTCTTTATCATGTACGTTTACTGCGCTGATTTCCGTGATACTTCCTGCAAAGAGTCGCACCTCCTTGGCCTTGTGTCCACGACCACTTGGCGCGGGGCCCCTCACACAGTTGGTGTCTAATAACAACAACCCTGAAACCCCTCCCAGCAGATTGCATTCTTCGGAAGGAGAGGTTTTGCCGAACAAATGATGGACCCTGAAGGTATTGGTGCATCAGCTCTGTGCCTTCTGCATCACCCAGACAGGAAGAGGCTGCAAGAGAGGACAGGAGACAGTGCCGCTGGCTGTGAAAGTCTGTGGCTTCATTGTAGGTGCATACTCGCCATAATATGGCTGTAAATACAGCTCATGCAGCCAGTCATAAAAAGGATAACGCAATGGGAGTAAAATCATAAAGCCACCATATCCTGAGCACTTACCATGTGTCAGATACCGTGCTCCGAATGAGCTCCAAGCTGCACATAGCTCTGCCAGGCAGCTGTCATCGTTTCTGTCGTACAGGTCAGAGCACGGAGGCCCAGCCAGGCAACCTGAGCCCAGAGCCACACGAATAATAAACGCTGGGGAGTTTCAAACCAGGTCTGCCTCGTTCAAGCTCCAAACTCAGACTCTGCCGAGGACACTCCATTCTTCAAATCATCTAGGCCATAGAGATTGGGACTGATTAAAACAAAGCAGAACCTACGGTCAGAGGCAGCTCAGGGGCTGACATCAGGGGCCTGACCCATAAATCATCAGAGGAGAGAGATTACCACAATCAGCAGAGCTCTCAGAGGGCTCGAGCACCTGCTGGCTCTGCTGCCGTGGAAGCTGGTTCATACTTTTCTCCGAAATTCAATCAAATGACCTGAAATGTTATGAGTCTCTTCTTCAAAATATTGTTCTGTTTGGTTCTGCTGTGTTCTGTCAGTAGGATCTTTGAGCAAATGTCAAAGTGGATTGATGTGTATAAATTTCCTCGATGTGTGTGAGATGCGTTAGAGCAGGGTCAGCTCGCAGGAATGGCGCTTGGGTCTTGTTAGGGACGCTGAGGCACACTGACTTTGTCACCCCGTTATTCCTGTCGAGTTAGGCCTGTATCACACGCTCGCTGTGGACAAGCTGGTGCATGCGCTGAGGATACGCTGATGACCACGAAAGACTCAGCCTCCCCATAAAGGCCCACCCCACCCCCTGCCTGAGATGGTCGGGCTTAGCTCCCTCTGCCCCTGCGCGGCCCCATAGCTGATCATTCCCAAATCCAGTCAACAGGGAGCTAGAAGGAGAATTTTATTCTGTACTACTTTCCCATGCTGATTTAGGCTTTATTGGCCTTAGAAAATGGTACAAAAACATTTCTTACAACCTCTGGTTAGTTGAATGTGTATTTTAGGAATTTGGTTTTTTTTAAATGTATGCCCTTTGGTGATTTTAAAAAAACTGAACTCTGGATTTATAATTTTGATCAAGGAATTGTGTGTGCTCACCAGCCTTCATGTACAGAGCAGAATCACTGACCCAGTGTCAGTAAAACGTGCTTGGTGAAGTGTTTTCCCAGAAATGGAGATGCATTTGCACAAATTGCCTGCCATCCTCCTGGTGTCTCCTGTTAGCGGCAGCATGCATTTTGTGTGAAATGTTGGAGGGGTTCGGACACAGACCACGGCCATGGGCCTCAGCACAGCCGACTGGAATGTACGGGGATGAAATATGCAACTTTTGCCTCATTAGCACCATGTCCCCTAGTGAGTTAACCAGCCACAGGCAATTGAGGAACTCTGAAGGTTAATTCTCCCTGCCCAGAGGTAGAGTTACGGCTCAATGGACTAAGCCCTGAAAATGTTATCACTCCAACCAGGAAATTTTAGGTGGAAAAAATGGCTGGTAGTACAAAAAGGTTAAACAAATTGAAAACGGGTCTAAAACAGACGGGCAACTTTTTCCAGAGTTGCATAAAATATTGTGTAACTTTTGTAGAGGTTATGACTCGAAACATGTTTCAACCACGTGATTGCCAGGAACTGTTAAAATAAATAGCACAAATAGGGCAATTAAATATAGATACTAACAGCTTCAAACCACGAGAGAAGAGGGAATGAAGCAGCTTGGTTTCCTTCTAAAAACATCCAGGTGAATTTATCTGGATTTAGAATAAAGGCCTGTTTTGAAAAGCTAGATATGGAGGAAGGCTGACGAGGCTAAAAAATTGTGGTTCTTTCCCCCTCAAGGGAGTCCTGCCTAAGCTAACGCATCCGTACAGGGCAGTGCTCCTGCTAAATTATATAGACCAGTTAGGAGAGGTGGGCTCTGAGGACCAGCCAAGAGACCACCTTCTGCGTAGCTTAAGACAAATGTCATAGCTTCACTTTACCCTTCTTAGGTCTCCTGTGACCCCAAGTCACTGCTCGTCTTCACAGGCACCCCGGCTGTCCTCTCCTGGCTCCTGTGTCTTGTACACACAGTGTATTGTGAGAGGACAGGAAGGTCTCTCTCTGATAAAATCCCTCGTGTATACAATGAGCGCTAGCGTGTATACAATGCACAGCTGAACTGACCTGAGCCTTACTTTCTGCCAATGCAGACATGGGGAATGAAAAGTGAATGCCCAACTGTGCCTGTCTGTACCGAGGGGGAAAACCACAACCTCGTTGTGGGTATTGCTAGGTGGAGGCAAAAACCAATAGGTCTTCAACAGCTGGTTAGGGATGAGGGTGATGGCAAGGATATGGAACTTGAGTAGCAACAAGTTACTGTGTCTGTTCTTCCCTCCATTTTGGCTTGTTGGCAAAAGGCAGAAGAGTAAAGAATAATAATTTAAAAATAGCTAAAATTTATTGAGCACTTACCACATGTGCCGGGCACATGGAAAATTTCGTGTACTCTGCAATAGGCAGTTGTGCAAGTAAACTAAAATATCCAGAAGGGCAGAGCCAGCGTCCAGCTGAGGAGACTGTGCCCTGCCTCAGCTTTGCCTGCAGTCTGTCTTCCCTGAAATGCTCTTTGAAACAGCACTGTGGGTAGGGAGCAATCGTGGTTCACGGTTATCTGGATAACATGTAATAAGACAGACGCCAGGGACTTTCATTACAGGAGGCAGAAAGCTTATTTGTAAGGAATAATTGTACAATAGTATGACAGAATAGAATATAGAGACTATAATGGAGCAGATAACTGTGAGTGAAAATAAGTGTTTTACCTATTCTGATGTTTTCTGATGTGTGTGTATGAAGTTATACAGAAATGTTGGAATTATGGTGCTGAGAAAGAGTCCTCAGAGATTTCTAGAATGATATGTTAGAATCACAAAGCAATATTGCAAAGCATTTGTACCCTCACCACATAATCAGTCCAAACAGATGTTGTTGAAAAGTATCTTCCCTCCTGTAACATTAAACCTTTTATCTAATTTAATTCACAGAACTTCTTTCAAATAGTTAGCAACCTTCTAGATGAAGAAAACAAGGAAAAATGGGAGGATGCACAACAGGTAAGGTTGGAGTTATTTCAAAACTTAAAATGAAGTTGGATGAATAAAGTTTGGAAAAAATTGAAGAAATTAGTGGCTTGCAATTCTAAGAACATAAAAGGAAAATTTTAAAAGTCATTCTAGATTATATCATACTAATTTTAGAGAAAACAAGTGATCTCTTTTATTGTAACAATGTATGGAATGGATGATATTTATAAATGTGAAAAGACTGAGCAGGTTTAAGTAGTTTATAACTTTAAGTAAGTTATTGATACATAATAACTATATGCCTCACCAATCAGTGTCTTTCCTGTCTACAGACTGTGGGAAAGGCAGCAAATCTAAAAGCACGTATTGCAAACCAAACTGTGGGGAACTAACTAGTAAAATCATCTGCATTTACTGCAATGTTACATATAATCTAGATTATATATACCGATGTGCATTTTGATTCAAAGCCAAGAGTTGTAAAAATAAGTTCCCATTAAAAAAAAATGTGTATTCTGCTTTTGTCTCTTTCTCCTCTGCATGAGCAGGGTGGCAAGTGGCCTTATTGGTTTAGTTTAAAATGCCTTGCACTGCCATTTGTGCTATACTGACCGGCACACATTTTTTCTGAATTACAGAGAAAGTGGGTTAGAGGTTAAGATGGGGAGAATATGCGTGTTTTAAAAAAATCATGTGAAATTTAATTCAACTGAATATTAAAGTTCTTTAAGTTTTCTACTTGACCTTTGCTAAAAATCCAAGAGAACAATGCAATCTTGAAAATAAGACTATGTACTGGGGTTCAGGTGAACCATCTCCCCCTTTTCCCTTTAGAATCATGTTCTGGGCTTCAAGAGTAAAGCATGCCCTTTATCCCCATTATGACAGGAGCTCTAAAAATAGTCCTGTGTGCGGCCACCTCATTATCAGGTACAAATTCGGTGCTTCTGGCCATAGCAAGAGAAAATTACTCCTTAGTTTAAGACTCTGAATCTATCTTTTTCTGCTAGTTTGAATTATATATTTGTCCTTGGCTTTCTTCTAGACGAGAGCCTCATTCACTCACTGTAAGAAAATGGTGTATTTCCTTAGAATACAGCTGCGGAGGCTAAGCACATCTCTCCAGAATGCTGGAGACTATTAATTATGGATATATTTAGAACAAGTGTATAATGCCCTATTTAAAACAAGACTGCAGTTCATCAGATGGTGTTATTTACTGTGAGGTCCCAACTTGAACAAATAATGAATGGTGGAAGAGCTTCTCGTCAATGGAAAATCCTGAATCCCTAGTCCATCTATTTACTTATGATTTTGAGTTAGCTATATTCTTATCTTTTAAATATCTTTTTCAGTAGTGATGATCCTGAATGCTTTTTTAAAATAACTATTTGAAATAAGAAAACAACTGTTTCGTAGCTTTTACTGAAAAGTGTTGTCATAAATGCAGCCACATTGTAAATGAGTCTCCAAGTTTGTGGCTCAGAAGGTGACCTCCTCGGAAATAAGAGCTGTTTAAAATCGACCAAAGGTAGTCCGTTGTGGGTCCCCTTATCTTATCCTAGAGGAATAACCTCAACAAAACACAGTATAAAACATAGGTCTGTGTGCATTTGGAGAACTGGCTGAGTAAAACCGTGAGTATCGACGTCAGAAGGGTTGTGCAAACATAGTTTACACTTCTGAATGATAAATAGAGCCATTTCAGAACTTGTTTGCTACACATAAGCCCCAGTTATGAAGGAACAAACTCTGTTTAGTTAAAGCATCCTACTAAAAACATCGTATACTAAAGTGAAGAAAAGACTCCGAGACTCTCCAAAGCACTATTTTATACACCATCATTGTGGTTGGAGTTGACAAGTCCATTTCAGTCAAGTCAAACCACTTCACTCAGGCTATTATGTTCTGTATTTCCTTGTTATACTGAAAAATTCATGTGTCTCTACAAAAGGAGTGGGCAAACTGCGGCCAGTGAGCCGACTCCAGCCTGACACCTGCTTTGTAAATAAAGTTTGAGACTATAGCCACCCCCATTCATTTACGTATTATCTATGACTGTTTTAGTACACGGAGGACAGAGATGAGTATTTCCAACAGAGACCCCATGACCAAAAAGCCTGAAATAGTCACTGTCTGACCCTTTATAGAAAAACATTTACCAACTCCTGCTCTACAACATTCGATACTATTGGGAAAATATAATTAAGAACGAATCTACTGCCAATCTAGAAAGCTTCTCCACAAAGGTAGAGGAAAAGAAAACAATTTTACTATTAAATAAACGTTAAACTAGAATGTGATGCCCTTCACAGGCAATCCACTAAGAGATCAAAAAGGCAGAAAGAAATCCCACCCTTTTGTACAGCCAAGGGAGACAACCCATCACACATATGTCCTCAAGATAAACAGTAACTGGTGCTCGTAGGAGGACTTGACAGCACCAGTTGTCACAGAGTTCATCCTAAATTCACTCAGGAATTGGGTGACCTTCTCGTTAGTGAACTGGCTTTATCCAAAGAAAAAGTAACTTTCTCCCAGTATCTTAAAGACTGAAGGTGGTTTTGCAGCTTAGAGCCAGGCACCTGCTGAGGTTAGACTCCCTCCTCCACAGCAGCAAGAACTGGGGGCTCTGTGGTCCTTGATGGCTGCATTTCAAAGAGGGACATTCCTGGGTCTTTCAGCCTTTAAAAGGCTATTCAGCTTTTAAAAAGAGTTACATACATTTCAAAGAGACAGAGAAGGAACTTAACAATTACTAGTTCTCTAAAGTAAAAGTTCTGAGAAAAGGGAGCAGGGGGTGGGGCTGGAGGAGGGAGTCCCCTTTCAATAGGGAGAATTAAGCCTCTTATTTTTAATTCGTATTTACCCTTCCACTACACATACTCATATACACATACACCTACACAGACACGAAGGAAAAGTACAGTAGTAGCAGGAGCTTGGAGCAGATGGAAATCTCATGCACATTTTTAGAATGAGGATGATCAACTTTCAGAGTTCATATTTAGTGATTGGAAATGTAGGTAAGAAATAGCATTTCTCCCCAAATCTTTCTGATATTAAAAAAAATTACAACTATAGATGCATCCTCGCTGTCTGACTTTTAGAGGGGCGCAGCCACAGCTCCTGTAGAACTGCTCACCTGTGCCTGCTGTCCACCCTGCCAGCATGTCTTCCTCCTACCCCGTCCCCGTCCACTCTCACTGTTTGCTTTCCTGCTAATCAGTGTCTCTTCTTCTGCACTAGCCTTTGCGAATACAAAGCACTAAAACTCCCTCATCCACTTAAGTTTTTCAAGGCTAGAAGCTGCAGTGGCGCTGGATGGCTCAAAGAATTGAACCTAACTTCAAAAGACTTTCTGCTCTAATACGGTTGTGTAATGCAGGCTGACTTTATAAGCCTTATGGGTTACGTGCTAAAATTCATGTGACTTTTAAGTGGCTTTCATATTCCACACACTGTGAGCTGTTGCCAGAACCAGGTTGTCTCTAAGGAAACACTCATCTGCTTGTACTGCGTGGGGCACATGGTGTCGGGTGTGTTTTGTGTATGTACATTTGGAGCACCAACACTAGAGCTAGTCTGATGATCGTAAAATCATTGCTAACATTATTATTCGTACAGTGGCTATTATAATCGTTAGAAATAAATGTCTCTCTCGAGATGTTTAACTATTTTGCAGTGAACTTAATGGTTTGTAAATATCTTCATGATGGCAATAATAATTGTTTTTTCTTCAGTGTCCATCAGATAGATGCGAAGTAAAAAATGTAAAAAGCTCAAAATTTCAGTGTTTGTTCCATGTTATATCAAAGTGAGGAAAGGAACCCATCAAAAGTAAAGATGTGCTGTTTCTAAGTCTACAATCGGTTAGATATTTTGAGTTTCCTTAGATTATAGAGGGTTAATCACTGTGACATGTCACCTCCGTAGTTCTTGCTGTGTGACACTTGGTGTCATTCTCAACTATTAGTTCAAAAAATACATCTGTTGGCGGTTGCAGAAATTTCTTCAAATAAATCAGAGCTCATTTATGATCTCATTATGTAGTTTTTTAAATTCTTGTTGTATATTCCATCTTATAGACTTTTTATTTCATCTAACCTTTGCTTATTTTTGTAGATTTACCCAGGCTCAATAGAGTTAATGCAGGTGATTGAAGATTTTATACACATTGTTGGAATGGGGATGATGGACTTTCAGAATTCATACTTAATGACTGGAAATGTAGGTAAGAAATAGAATATTTTCACAAAATCTTACTGAAATTAAAAAAAAATTGCAGGTATCTGCGCCATATATTTCCAAATGTAATATCCATTGCTTGTATCTTTAAGTATATGTGAGTAATGTATTATGGATACTTGGTGTCTGATTTTTAGATGGGCCCAATCACATATACATTACACACACACAAACGCACACACACACACACGTTAGCGTGCATCTGTGTGCATTTGTATGAATTCATACGGGCCCACTTGTGTTTATCTGCACGTGTATATGTAAAGGAGAATAAGTTCTTTTTTTCCATTTTCCAAATGCTCATTGCTATCCAATCTAATGTTGACATTATCTAATGTATACTCCAGTGTGTTTTTTAAAAGACGAGTCTTCATAATCTTCCATGCGTTTTTCACGAGGATACTGAGTTACTCTCTTGCGAGGGGTCCTGAGGGGGTGCTTTTTCTGCATGCGTGTGGAACACTTCAGAACATCTTTAAGGGTCGTGATCACGGGGCTGCTGCTTCGGTTTTCCTGAGTAACTTCCAGGGCACAGTGGGTCTCCCAGGCCCCTCTGAAGTGGACTCTGTGATGGTCCAGCACATCAAGTGGAGAGATAGTTCTTCCTGGAGTTGGCTGTAACATTGTCTCTTCTGGGGAGAAGTTGCACAGTGAAGCAAAACCTACACACACTTTTATGGAGCCATGGTTACACTGAGCCACCAGCAGTTACCTTAACCAAATGGCACGTTTCTCTTTATAGTTATGAAAACAAAGGCAAGAGCAAAGAAATAGTCTTCTTAAATATTAGATGCATTGAGTTGATACAGGTTTAAGGTTTTTTCATTCCTTCAAAGCCTCCTCTCATGATGTCACTGTGATTCAGAAGAGTTTTCTTTCATTTGTCATGCTTTAGTGGTCTTCACATAAAGGCCACTGAACTATATAGATAATAGTGTGTTTAAATAAACATATCCTACCTCACATTCTTATTCATGGGCTGTTTAAGCTGAAGTTTCTGGATCAGAAAGAGACCTAATTTGGTGGAGGGGTTATCTAGGCTTGGAGTTCAATTGGTACAGAACATAATTTTTTTATGATTAAGGCTTTCTGTGGTTCATTTTACACTTGATTTCTTCTGAAGGTCCTATAGTCCTGTAGGGACTCATTTGATCTTAGGATATCTTCCACCAGGGTGACCTCAAATTGTAATGGGCAATAGCTAACTGCTGGTAATATTCTCCAGTTGAGGAAAGCCTATGTGATGAGCGCTCAGAGGTCTGGAGACATTTCCGCACCAGTGCACCATTTTCACGCAGCATAAGGCCTTAAGTTAGATTTATGTCTTAATCCACCTTCCGAGTCAGTTTGAGGGCCCAGACTTTTCCCCAGAGTGTGTTCAGCAGCTTGTGCTGGTTCAGGAATGGAGTGAGCTGTCCCTTGCCATGGGCGATGAGAAGGAAAAGAGACCAAAAATGGTATGTTTGTTGAAGGATGAATTCAGAAATCAGAGAAAATCCAAATAGATATGCATTCCAAAAGTGGCAGGGCAAAGAGAGGAGGCATCATGTCTGTAGAAAAAGGGTAACATGTTGGCTTTGAGTGTTTGGGCTCGTGGAAGGAAGAAGCTAGAGAGATCCTGGGTGTGCTGGTCTTCATGCTGGAATCACCCTCCTCAGGGTCTCATGACTTCTCAAAAGGAACCAGGAAGGCCACTGTGCCAGGTCAGACAACTGGCAAAGTAATTTACAAGAAAAACTGAGGGGAAAAAACAAGGAGCTATTTTTTCTGGCTCTTTTTGTAAATGTTAACATCTAATTCTAAAAGACATTGGTAATTAAAAGTACTATTGGATCAATACGTGGCATTTGCTCAGAATGTGTTTGGAAAAAACCATTAAAAACACAAAGCCAACCTCAGAGTCCTGTAAACTTAAATTTGGACTTAAAATAGACTGTATGAACCACCATATCAAATTCTCTAAGAAGTGCTAGTATTATTTACTATAAGAATTCCATAAATTGCAAAAATTTACTCCTCTTTACCTTTCTTTGACTTACCAAAATTGTATATTTGAAAAATTTGTGTATTACTTTTTGCATTGATATTATGTTATCTAGGTTTGCCCACTTCCTTTATCATCATTAAACTTTAAGAACTATATTAAGCATGGTAACTCAAAGAAATTTAATGCTGCAAATAAAGCCAATATTGTCTTATATTGTCTTCAATCTCGTGTAAGGAGAGTGTGATTGTTTGGCCATCTGATTGCTTATGTAGCACTAATTATCCACATAAAAGAAGGTTATGTTCTGTGAATAAATATTCCAAACATTTATTTTGGAATAATATATGTTATTCCACCCAATAGAGATTTACCACTCAAAAGAGATCTTATTTATTGTTGATGTCCCCCAGTACTAGCCCAGGGACTGACTTACTGTAGTTTGATGATCAGAAGAAGGTTATTCTCAATAGTATTTAGGAATTTTCCCAAGTGCATCCATATGTTAGTCAGGATTCTCCAGAGAAACAGAACCAATAGGACATATAGACATATAGAAAGAGGTTTGTTTTGGGAGACTGGCTCATGCAACTGTGGATGCTGAGAAGTCCCATCATCTGCTGTCTGCTACCTGGAGGGCAGAAAAAACTGTAGTTTCAGTTCCAACCCGAAGGCTTGAGAACCAGGAAAGCCAATGGTGTAAGTCCCAGTCCGAATCCAAAGGCCTGAGAACCACAAGCACCTGTATCCAAGGGCAAGAGAAGATCGACGTCCCAGCTCAAGTGAGAGCACATCCGCCCTTCCTCTGCCTTTCTATTCTTTTCAGACCCCGAGATTGGGTGATGCCCACCTGCATTGGTGAGGGAGATCTTCTTTGCTGAGTCTATTGATTCAAATGCTGATCTCTTCCAGAAATATCCTCATAGACACATGGAGAAATAATGTTTTACCAGCTATCTGGGCATCCCTTAGCCCAGTCAAGTGAACACAAAATTAACCATCACAGTCCACTAATATCAAGTTGGATAATATGAATAATAATTACTTACCATTCATATTGTTTATGGTATCCAATTGATACTACTATATATAAAACGTGATTATACTGTTTTGTCTCGTATTTCCAATGTTTTTGGACAAGGACACAAGTAGAGAATAATTTACAGTAGCAAATTGTGAAATCTGTGAGTTGCCATTCATTTGTCTTACATCCTAAGTTCAAATAGTAATTATCCAACACTGAGCTCACTATACTGAACACACACACGTGCACACACACGCTCACACAGCATATGAGTGATAAATAGGCTGAGTAACCAAGAAAGGTTGCCTATTCCTTATGGCCATTTTCTTCAGAGTGTGTTGAAGTAAGACTACATAAAAACTTCAAAAGATCATCATGTCTTTTAGAGACATTACAATTTTTTTTCATAAAGCTGTTTAGGTAGGCCCCTCAAATTTCTGGATTATAGAAAAGTTCCTGAAGAAAGAGACGGAGTTGAATAGCCAAAAATAGGTATCATAATGACCGTACAATTTAATAACAGTCTCAGAACCTTGCTGATAGCCTATTTTATTTCAGCTTTAAAAATAGTTTCAACCTCTCTGTTTTCTGGTTCCTGATGCAGATAGAATGAGTTGGGAGCAGAGACAGAGCTGTTAGAAGCATATAGATAGCAAAAGACGAGCTGAAATGCTGCAACAACACGGAAAAGTAGTACTGAAAAATGCAGCGGAGTATGGAGTCCAGATCGCGGGAACAAACAACTGCTCATGACTCAGCTTTGAGAACGTTAGTCCTAAGACTTAGGACAATATTTATGGCCAAAATCATGGCCTTTATCCATCAAGATGAGGGATAATTTGGTTAAGATGGCAGGAAAGTGAGTGACATATCTTGGAAAGATTCTCTTTAAAAATAGTTCAAATGAAGAGTTTCGAAGCTTCTTTTACCTGAAAATGTCCCTACTTGTATCAGCTTTTGATAAACAAAATGCTCTCATATGCTAAAAATCTGTGAACATTTTGGTATAAATGTGGACATGTTCATTTCTGGAGGAAACAGGTCCATAGCTTTGGTTGACTTCTCAAAGGACTTAGGATCTGAAAAAGTTTAATACAAGGCTTGGAAAAAATATTCTACGAACAAGCCAATGCATATATAAAATAATTGAGCTTAAATAGAATATTTCTTTTTCATATTCACATATGAATATGACGTTCAAAATAGGCACATGATAATTATAATAAATGAAAGTTAATGAGGACTTACTAAAGACTAAACACTACTAAATAGCTTATATAATTACTGAATAAATGAATGAATAAATGAATATGAAATATTAATATGCTACAGAGAGATTTCAATTTTCAGTATGCCACAGTTTATCAGAAAATAGTATTCTGAATATTCTAAATATGCTATATAAGTAAGTGGTTTTTGTCTCAGTAAAAAGTGTGAATTTTTCAATGTATTTAAAAAAATATTATTATCAATTATGTCAGGGGGACCATATCTTAATATTATTTAATATGAGTTAAAGTTATTTTTCTCCAACTAAAATATTCTCTGAAGAGTTGTTTAAACTTACTTTCATATTTTCTCGCCAAATGTTTGCTCTTCAGTCCCCTGCAGTCCAGCATTTCTCTCATCACTTTCCGGAAACTCCTCTCAGAAAAGCCTTCTGGAAACTCCCAGTTGCCCAATTAAACCTCCTCCTATGTTCCATCTTTCACATCCTCTGTGCCTTGTTCACCACTCTCTCTTTCTTGAAACTGTACGTTTCTTTAACATTTATATACTTATTGTAGTATAAAATAGAATTAAAGGATAAAAATTAGACTCACGGCTTGGAAATATTTAGATTTTTTTGGAGGCAGTAACATAAAACAAAGAAGATTAAGCACCAAAGAGGAAAAAGGTGCATTATTTGAGGCACAGCTATTTGCAGTTCCAAAGACAGCACGGAATGTATGAGATCTTCTGTGATTGGAGTGATAGG